TAAGAACTTCAAAGCTTAAATTTTAAAATCTCCTATTTCTCTTTTTCTATAGAAAATATTGTCATTATTATGGGATAACTGCTCAGACAGGAATACAGGAAAAAGTTTGGAAAGAAAACTATGTTGTATTACATTCCTTAAATTACCTTTATGATTATAAGAGAATGTTTATACATAGACTTGCTCTGCGCCCCACTCTGTCTGGTGAATCCTGTACCCCAGTTCTTGTATGCATAAATAAATAAATGTTTTAAAAAGTTTTACTATAAATGCAGTGAAACCACAATGTCTTAACACTTGCATATTATTATTATTTAGACAGTTTGCTAATGATTATATCAGCCTCTCCTACTCAATGCTATTGAATTTACATGAAGTAAAAGGCACCTGCTACTCTTTGTAAAGAACACAGAAAGTTGTATAACACTTAGATCCTGGTCCTGAGCAACTCATAGTTTATAAAATTTGACATCGCAGGGCCTGCAAGAACTATATATTGTCATCAATGATTACTTTGCCACGAGTAATTTATGATCATTTAAAATGCAACACACATCAGAGAGTGAAAAACATATATTAGAGGTGACAGTTTTCTTTTTAAAGATTTATTTATTTAAAAAAAAAGATTTATTTATGCATACAGAGCTGGGGTACAGTCCAGAGGTGCAGGGGTGGTGAGAGAATTCACCAGAGACTGAGTGGGGAGCAGGCCAACTGATGAAGTACACTGATAAGGGGAGCGGTGGGCAGGTCAGGAGAGGTCTTCTGCTGCCGATGTGGATCACCTTCAGGATGGGGATCAAACTCATGCTGAAGTGGTTTTAGCACTTAGTGCTGTGCTTCAACCCGCTGTGCCACCAGGGAGGGCCTGGAGGTGACAGTTTTAACACGCATGCTTCCTGTTTCTCCTCCCCTTTCCCATGTGCCATGGTGATGTTTCCACTCTTACTGCAGAGTTGGGGGAGCTTTTTGTAAACAGACAAAGTCGTACAATGTAGAAATAAAATGACTGCAGATGTCATCTCCATTCTCTCCTGTGTGACAGACACCTGGTGGCAGTTCCTCCCTATCTATGATGTCTCTCTCTTGCCTCCTGTGGAATGTAATCCAGCAAGGCCTCCAGCGTTAAAACTGAATGTTAACTGGCCTAATACATACACTCAGGAGAGATGCCAGTTTCCTCTTCTGTGCTTATTCATAAAAAGAGAACAGAGACTGCAAGAGCACTGCTCACCTCATGGCCTGCGTTCTGGTCTGGACCTGTGAGTGGCTTACTTGCTCTTGGCATGATAAGACTCAGTACCCAGAAACTTTTAGAGTGATAGGATAAAATAATTTCATGTCTGATAAATTTAATAGTAAAATAATTATAATTTGTGTCTTCCTGATATTATTATTCTACTGATTTTGATTATATTTACAAAAATATCAGGTCATGATAGATTTGAAATATATATTTTTTAAACTTGTCCTTTATCACAGATCATTTAAAAACACTGTTCAGGAATGCTTGGTTTAGAAAGAGTTCTGCTTTCCTTCTCTTACTTTAGTTTCTTTGCCTTGTAAATTCCTGTCAAAGGAAAATGCCTAGATATTAGCTTTAAGCCAGGTACATGATACAGGGAAAAAGAAACATCTTTGATTAAAAAGATCATTAGTTCTCTAAATAGCCATACATTTACTTTCTTTGAAAATCAAATTAAATTCTCTCAAGATTAAAATTTTGGAAAGAGAAAAACAGTTGTAAAAAGGAAATTGTCTTTTTTAATTAAAGCTGTGTTTGTTTTTGCCAAAATATTGAACTGATTTTCTCTTAAGTGTATTCAGGCAATTTGGCAGATTAAGACGATCTTAAAAAACAGCCTGTTCCAGTCTAGACTTACACCTGAGCACAGAAATGAGGCTCTCTCTGTCCTCACACCTTCCTTCTGCTGAGCTCCAGATGTACCTGACTATTGAGTGGTACAGTGAGCTTTGTGCATCCCACTCCCAGATTCACTGTGAACCCCCACTCCTTTGCAGGGGTCTTGCCCAACACACAGTCTTCTAACTTTTAGCAGGACCTGGCCTCTTCAGAAGGAATTTTGCTTTAAAAGTGTTTTCTAATCTCACTAAATAGAAATGTTTTATTTTAACCAGATTTGATACTTGAAATTGTGTGGTGATTCAAACAAGGAGCTAGATAGAGCAGGGGGTTTGCATAGGTTTTCCATAAAGTGCCAGATAGTAAATATTTTAAACTTTGATGGCCGTTTAAGGTCCCTGTTACAAAATACTCAATATGTATGTACTCAATATGTACTTGAATATGTATCCAACACAAATATGTAACTTGAAAGCAGCCATAGATGATGAGTAAACAAATGAGACTATGTTCTAATAAAACTTTATTTACAAAACCGATCAAAATTCAGCTGCTAAAATATTTGAGAGGTATAGAACTCCCCACACTCTAAGTGCATTTATTTATCTATAAACAATGATTGGCATGTAGATGTATTTTTCCTTTGCTAAACATGTTTCTTTGTATGGAATGCAAATCATTCCTACTTATTCTTTAAAGGTAGGACCTCTTCTAGATAAGATCTCAGTCACCTTGTCTGGTTACTCTAAAGGTTATCAAATTTCTTGTGAATTCATTTCATTGCTCTCCTCTCCCAAGAGTATAAATTTGTGAAGTATTCTTGTATACTTTTTGTTTTGTTGGTCTAGCCTGAATTTACGTAATACTTAATTCAAAGCAAAAACAAGTACAGTAAGCTAACACACAGTAAAGATATTAAAATGATAGTATGCATTGTTGTTTTGCTATAGACATAACAACAAAAAGGCTACTGTACTGCTTTTTAAACTATTGTGTTACAATAGTTATTTACTGACCTTTTGGTCATATGTCTGAAAAACTTTTTCAGCATGCGACTTCAAAATATGCATCTCATTTATTTAAAATTATATGTATGGATTACTATCATTAATTAATATCTCAAGACACAATATACTGAGGGTCAAGCTGTTCATTTATCATGGTCTTCTATGACTATGTTGATAATAGACTTCTTATGATTTTTTTCCTGTTTTGGCTAAGTTCTTGTCAAACCTGATTACATTGTCATTACTTTTACTTTGTAAAGTAGGTGACAGAAAGCTTTTCCTAGGAATAGAAGTATCAGTTTCGTCACTTCATATTATTTATTCTTGCATTGTATCACTTTTAATCGGTGTGTTCTTACCCACTTTAAGGTATTTTTAGTAAGGGGACATACTATCACCTATAAATTGACTTGGGAGCCCAGAAGTGCACATTTCAGTGCACTCAAAGCAAATGCAGAGGGCAGTGGCCACACCCAAGTGTGGAGGCCCATTCTCCCCTGAGGGCATCTTGAATATTAAGTGAGGCAAAATTCTCTGTAGAGCTGACAGAGGGCACAGTGAAACCCAGACATTAATGTTTTCCTTTTTAAAGAAATAAATATAAATGGAGGTGCCAATATTTTTTTCCCACATTACAATAAATTACAATAAATTGTGTATTTACATAAACCTTCTGACCTATGCAATTCAAGTTCATAAAAGTATGATTTTTTTTATTTTAATGCTTATATTGTGGTTCAGCTATTCGTTGTTTGTGTTCCCTAGCTAATTTTTGGGCTAGAGACTAGCATATCTTTCAGTATTCCATAAGTCCAGTGGTGTTTTATATACAATAGGTGAGCATTAATAAAACATGTACAAATGTTTCACTATATAATAGGCTCAAGGAAATCTTTATAGTAATTTCTTTATTGCTGAGGATTGGTGACCTGTGTCTTTCCCTCAGTTGTTACTTGTTTATTTAAATTCCATTGTCTAATTTGAAAAGTTAATTTCTTTTTGCATGCACCCTTAAATTTGCCATCCAAGTTGGTCATTCTTTACAAATGATTGCTACTACTGACTCATTCTTTTTATTTTTTTACTGGTGTCCCTGATAAAATTGCTGATTTTACTGAGTTGAAGTCACTCACTATCTGAGGTACTTTTATATCTGCATGATAAAATGCATTGAACAACTTAAGCCTGTGGGGGTTGAGGTGGACAGGAGAAAATTCTTGGTTTGTGAAAGGTGGCCAGAGTGTGCGACTGATGCCCTTCACTAGTTTATTGATGCCACATTGACACGATGTCAAAGATGCTTCACTAACTGGCCCTTAGTAATTCTCTAGAATTAAACAGCTAACTGCCATTCCTTTGTTGGGAGAAAATCTGTCATTCAGTTGACTGAACAGAAGACTATCATCAGTCCTGGCCTAATAGAAGCGTTACAGAAATGGCAGGGTCAATGAGAATCTCTGGGTGGCACCAGACAGCTGTGTTCTTAGGACTTACCAGGTGATTCCAGCACAGTCATGGCTGAGAGTTATTGTTCAAGAGCTAGTAAGATGATTGGGTCCCTAATAGGAAATGAAAAGTGGGAGGCTTGATAAAGGTGAAGGAACTCTAAGAGTAGCAAAGGAAGTTACCTACTGATCGAAAGGTTGAGTAACAATTTTATAGCTTCAGGTTGACTTAGTTAGTTACAGACATTGTAACTTATTCCCTTGCTTACATATTGATCACCAGTTGGGTTTAAGATGTTGGCCGAGAGAACCAAAGATTTATAAATTGAACCAAGATCATCTGCAGCGTTTGGAAGCTTTGTCTTTGGGAACTAAAATCATACTGACAGTACACGTCAATCTTAGATGGTCTTTCAAGAGTCTTTTAGCCTATGAATAGTTCAGTATTTCACCTTGGTGTCATGCTTGCAGTTGCTCTCATTTGACCTAAGGATACAACCTTTTTATACTTATACGGAAACCTTATACTTAGACCTTTGCTTGGTTTCCCATACATGTCAGCCTGAGAGGACAGGGAGCATTCCCTTCTCTTGATAGCTCCCAGGTCTGGGGAAGCATCTTACACCCACTAAGTATTGATTGAATATTTGTCAGTGACTCCCACAAACTCTGTTTTTGTTGCAGGAAGCAGTGCAAGTATTGATTAAGCATTCAGCTGATGTCAATGCAAGGGACAAGAACTGGCAGACACCCCTGCACGTGGCAGCAGCCAATAAGGCTGTCAAGTGTGCAGAAGTGATCATTCCCCTGCTGAGCAGTGTCAATGTCTCCGACCGAGGGGGGCGCACAGCCTTGCATCATGCTGCTCTGAATGGCCACGTGGAGGTAGGTGTCATCATTGTTGGGAGCCAAAACACCCCTTCTCAGCCTAATAGGGACCTAATGTTCTTGCTAAGACTTTCAGAGAATGTTAAAATAATATCAAGCAGCTGTATCTGTTTTTCAAACTTAGAGCCACAATTAATTGAAAAAGTGGTCATCATTTGCAGTCTTTTCCATGACGTTAGATTTCTGACCCACCTTTCAGTATAATATTAATTTGACACAGATACCTGCAGGTGGAGAAAAGCCTACAGCTTTATAGAGCATATGCTCAATTGTGTGTGTGTGTATGTAGAAGAACAGGATAGAGGTGCTGGGGAGGGGCATAGGTAAGGGGGTTCAGCAGAGCAAAATTCAGCAGAGTAGGGAGCAGAACAAGCAGATGTACTAAAATACACTGCTGAGGGGAGAGGTGGGCGAGGCAGGAGAGGTCCGCTGTGCCATATGTGGGTCAACTCCGTGGTTGGAAATCAAACTCAGGCTGTAGCTATGATAGTGCTGACACTTAACCTCTAGGCCACCAGACAATCCCAATTTCATTGTTGGTTTTATTTCAGATGGTCAATTTACTCTTGGCCAAAGGAGCAAACATCAATGCATTTGACAAGAAGGACCGGCGTGCTCTTCACTGGGCAGCGTATATGGGTGAGGATTCCATGAGTGGCAAAGTGCAGATAATTTAACTAAAGCAGTCACAGGTTGCTCACTGACCATGCAGGGTTTCTCTGGGGCATGCCAGAATCTTTTCAAGTGTACGTTTCCATTCAATTAAGATTCAGCTCATTTTACTGGCACATCAAACAGTATACTTGCACAATTGCTTGGTCAGAGATTTATTTATAAAAAGGAGGGATAAATCATGGCCTGACCTTGTTGAATGTGTTTCAATCTGGATTGGAAAGCTACATGTATTGGGCTTATTTTAACTTGTTATGGTAGCCAAGGGGGTGTTTAAAAAGAACTGGCTAGCAAAGGAAGGACGCAAATTCCATTTGTCTTTTTCTTTATAAATATTTATGAAAGAAATAAAATGGAAGGAAGCAAAGACAGCCCCCCCCCCCAGCAGTTGTAGACCAGAGTGACTGTGGGGCTTTTGTGATTCTACTGCCAACACAGTGTGTCGGGGCTCGAGACCTTACTTCTGCTGGCCAGAGTCAGAGACACTACGGAAGGACAGTTCTGTGTTTTTCCTTTTCTCTTTGTCAGCTCAAATACCACTGACAAATGATAGATCACACAGAGTTTATTCTCAGTGTACACTGTTGGGAAAAGAACTAAGATCCTTCCTTTATGTTTCTAATTGGAGAATATCCTGCTGTTAGAAAAGCAGACAGGATTCTGCCAGCACTAAGTTATGAACAACCTGAAGACCCCACCCCCATCCCCACCGGAGGTTGTGTTGATGAATGATAGAAGATTTACAGAATGGAACACTATATTACATCAATGATATTTACTAACACAGATTCTGTGATACATTAAGTGAAAACAGTATGAATAATATGATTCTCATTTTTGTGAAAATAATCTATGCAATAAAAAGAATCTGGGAAACATACATTGAAATCTTAACTGATTATCTATAGAGATTGACAATTGTGGGTAATTTTGGTTTCCCTTTAACACCTTTTGTCCTTTCTGAGTGCATTTAAATAAGCGTATGTCTTTTATTTTCACAAAAATGACATTGATTGTGGGGGAGAAAGAATGAGTGGCTATGGATGAGTTAAATGAATTCTTGGGCTTCACGTCAACAATGCTTGCTTAAATGACGATACAACATCTTAAGTGAACAGGCACCACTTCTACTAGATCGTGAAGAGAAAGCTCATGTAGGGCTTCTTCTCTTCCCACAGCATTCACAGTGCCTGACATGTAGTAGGCACTCACTAAATATTTGTTGAGTATTTGCTGCAAACCAGCTTTTTATAAAGAGCTCAGCAAGATACTGTTGGCAATTAAAGCTAATGGTGATAATTTAGATGGGATGAATTGGCAAATTGTTCTGGAAAGATTAGTAATGTTTTCTGTGACTTTGCTTGTAAAGGCCACCTGGATGTCGTGGCGCTGCTCATCAACCATGGCGCAGAAGTGACATGTAAGGATAAGAAGGGTTACACCCCCCTGCACGCCGCAGCCTCCAACGGACAGATCAATGTTGTTAAGCACCTCCTGAATCTGGGGGTGGAGGTGAGCTGTGATGAATGCATCGCCCACGGTGTGTTTGTGGGTTTTCATTGCTCTGAAATTAAATCCTGTTTGCATTTTAATTCAAGAGGAAACTCTCCTCCCCCATTTTCTGGCTTCCTATCTTTTTTATATGCAAATGGTCAACTGATGAAGAATAATGTGGGACATGTATAAATTAGAAAATCAGAAACAAGACTAACTTTTCTGTATGGACTTAAAAATATACATAAACATATATATGATACATAATAAACTCTCACTTTTAACAGATTGGCTAGAACCCTCTACCCACCATTCAGAATCTTCTAAATCAGGGCTTCCAAGCAGGAACAAATGAATGAATGGCAGGGACAAAGAGCAGGACGGCCCAGCTGAGCTGGAGTGGTCAGTCCAACCCCTTTCCCTGTAGTTAGCAGCACAGGAGCAGTGATGAGGCTCTGGGACATCCATGCGCCCAGAGGACAGGGAAACTTAGGTGCAGCACGGAGAGCAGGATGGTGAAACCCAGCAGCGAGGGCAGGTCTGGGAAAGCAGGAGGGAGCGTGGGCAAAACATGCAGAACAGCTGCCAGGCCTGGTGTAGAATGTGCTTTGTGAGGTGTTTGACAGCAGAGCCAGCCCCAAAGGGGCTTCTGAGCCCTATTTCTGAGTTAGGCTCCATAGCATGTCCCTATACACCTCCCACCTGCTTCTCTTCATGTTCATGGTGAGTTTGGGATTCTTTTCTGGCTCTCCTGATTCATTCCCCCTCTGGTAGCTTTGCTTTGCTTTTTATCCCGATCCTAACTGAAAAATATCTTCCCACAAGTGGAAACCTCTAACTCTACTCCCCGGTAGCTTATTATCACCTTCACCTTTGCTGGTCGTTGTCTCTCGGAGTGACAAGCTTTGTAGGATCACTGTGCTGTGCCAAGGGCGAATGCTGAATAACACATCAATGCCTGGAATTTCCTTTCTTTGTGTGGCCACTGGGTTGTGGTGGCTTTTTAAATCTTTTTGTGTGCATATAGAAAATGGGAAATTTGCTCTAATCTGACTGTAATCATCCTGTTGGACTCTTCACAGATCGATGAAATCAATGTCTATGGGAACACAGCGCTTCACCTTGCCTGCTACAACGGGCAGGATGCTGTAGTTAATGAGCTGACTGACTACGGTGCTAACGTGAACCAGCCCAACAACAGCGGGTTCACCCCTTTGCATTTTGCTGCGGCCTCCACACATGGTGCTCTATGTCTTGAGTTGTTAGTCAACAACGGAGCAGATGTTAACATCCAGGTATGGCACTCTTGGTCTCTGTGTTAAACACCTTTGCACTGAGACTCTGTTTGAGCAAAACCAACTGCTGTAAGTTCAGTTTTAACAAAATGTAGCTCTCGAATACACTGCCACAGCCCTATCCTGCATTGAGCTGCTAGGGAAATGCAACTCAACTCTGTTGTTTTTGCTGAGTGTGACACCAGTAGAAGGCTCTGAGCTTATAGTCACATGCTCTTGGTAGCTCAGTGAGTGTTCTAGCAAATACTGCATTCAGGGATATTGACGCAGCCCAGGCTCTAAGACTAAATAAATGTTTGAGCTGATAAAGCAGAGGTGCTGAGAATCAAAAGGAAAACCTGATCAAGTGATTTCAGGTCAGTTCCCAAACTTGGCATGGCCTTCCAAGAAGGTTCTCAACATTCTTTCTGTAGCAGCCCTACTGAGGGGCTTCATAGAGTACATACAGTGACCTCTTTCTAATGGTGACTCCTTTATTCAGCAAACTAAGCAAGGACTACCTAGTGTCTTCTATTTATTTACCTAGTGTGTAGTACTCCCACAGGAGACAAGATCTCATAAAAATCAGTAATCCTGATGACAACCTATTGGAAAATATGGGCAAAGGCAGATCAAGAGAGGTTATAGTATCCATTAAATCTCTGAAACATTCAGTACAAAGTAATTAGATAAATACAAACTAATGCATTTATAATATTAATCCTTTGCTTATAATATTGATATTTACTTTTAAGATTGGCAAATATCAAAAAGGCTGGCAATACCACTGTTATCAATGAGAAAATTAAAATTCAATTAGTAAATATGATCCAATTTTTTAATTAAAAATGTTTTGTGTTTCACAGAATGAAGGAAATATCTGAGATATACTCTAATACACTAGTAACAGTGATTGCTGTAGAGAGGCAGAATTACGATTTAGGTTTTTAGTTGTTTTTTTAAAAAAATATATAAAAAATGTATATTTGTTTTAATCATCTGAGTGTGATACAATGAATATCTCCTATATATATCAGGAAAAAAAAACTATTTTCATTTTTGTAAAAAGAAATTCAGGTATAGTGGACCTAGAGGGAGGGCTGGTCGGGAATGACTAGAAGTCAGTAAAATTTGTCTAGATAGGAGGTCATGAGGGCAGAGGACAGCCAACAGAATGGTGAGGCGTTGCAGAGGGGAGACTTGTAAAAATGAAATCAAACAGAATATGGTTGGGCTAGACAGAGGAGGTGAGGACAAGTGTAAGAATGGAAACCTGGCTGAGAGAGGGAGCATAGAACAGTGGTTACGTGTTCATTTCGAGCAGTAGACTGCTTAGAATTGACTTACAGGAATTACATAATTGTAAGCAACCCACTCTGTGTCTTCGTTTGCTTTCTTGTAAAATCAGGCAAGCCGTTGTATCTTCTTTATGGGACTGTTGTGAGGCGTAAACAAGTTTTATCACATAAATTGCTTAGAACAGTGTCTGCCATACTATAAGCTCTTGATAAATGATTACTTTTAGTAAGAGAGATGTCAGGGGAAAGAAAAAAGGCGTAGGAGGTAAAATTAATGAGTTCAGTTTTTGAGAAGCAAATTTTGTGCCTTTTGTACAACCAGTCTAGGAAACCAATAGTGGAAAATGTGACATTCTAGCATGGAGAGTGGTAGACAATAGAAGAAAAAATATTAGGTTGTCTCATTCATATGATTGATAGTTTAAATTGGGAGGAAAAGATGAGATCACCCTGGAAGAGAGAATATGAAAGCATGAATAGAGAACTCCAGCAACCCATTACTTTTCAGATCAGGAGAAAGAGCCAGAGAAAGTAACGATAAGGGGGGGTTAGAGAAGATGGGAAGGGAATAGGGGAGTATAGTCTTCATGAAGACAGAAAGCAGGCAGAAATGAAATAAATAGAATAGAGGTTTCCAGATTTTTCAAGTCAGACTCATCCAAGTTCCTAGTGGAGATAAGATGAAGATGTTTGGGGGCAGTAAAGAAGCCAGGATCTGTAGCCCAAGGTGGAGAAAGAGTCACCATTTGGGGCTGATATAACAGAGATAGTGGTGAGAAGGCAGGAAGCTAGGTGGCAAAATCATCAATATCCCCAAGACTTCATCTAATCTAGCCATCCTGGCGTCTGGGGACACCTTGTGAATCCCCACAGAACAGAAAATTTTGAAGTTAAATAGAGTAGCTTTCATCACCAACTTCCAGTTATTCATTCACAGAGTCATTTAATGCTCTCCATGATCTCTGTAAAACATTGAACTGATGCTCTCAGTTCGTGATGGTGCCTGATACCAAGACTAGATGCCCGCTTTCTGACACACCTACCTGTCGCGCCCACTTACCTGACTAGTCTCAGCTCAGATTGAAGAAGAGGCTTCCCCTGGATATGATGCACTGGTTTGAAGAAACCACCTTCTGTCCTCCACAAAATGGACCTAACCATCATATTTACTAAATTCCATAGTTATTGTTGACCCCTTTGGACTGCTAATCCTAAATAGAATATGAAAAATACCATTATAGAAATCTGAGACTTGGATTCATGTTCTAATCTGTGTACATGAATTTGAATCAAATCTAACCTCTCTCAGTCTTCCTTTATCTACTCTGTCTATACTCTCCATTTGCAAATTCTTCTTTTAAAATCTTTTTTAGCTTATCATGGTTTACACTTTTATTATTAAATTTGACAGTTGTTTTCATGTCTGATTGACTTCGGGGTTACCTGTTGCTCTTCCAGGTGTGTGTGCACGTTCCTCTCCCGTCCACCAACCTCCCTTGCTGATGCCCTGTTCCCATGCTCCCCATCCCCTCAGCACCCTTCCCGTTTCCTCTAATAACCAGTAATTTTTCAACTAAGTCTTAGCTTTGTTTTTACTGTATATATATTTTTGTTGTCTATATTCCAAAAATGAGTGAAACCATTCAGAATCTGTCTCTTACTTTCTGACTTATTTCACTTGGCTTAATCACCTCAGGCCCATCCGTTTTGTCCCCTGAGCACTGTTTCTTTTTTCCTTCTTCTCGAATCCCCCGTTGTCATTTTCAGTGTACTCGGGATACACAGATCATCTAGCATTTCTGTAGAGTCATTCTGTCTGGCCCTGGAGGTAGTTTTCTCATTGAAGTTGTTATCTCTCTGTACCACATTGCTCAGTGGATTATGAAAGTGTTTGTAGATTTCAAGACAGTTTCTGTTCATTTAGATTTTTTCGAAGTTTGAGGGAAATAGCATATTGAAATGTAGCCAATATTTGCCAACATGTGCACTTTTTTTTCTCCACCCTTACAATGAAGTGATATCTTCATGAACAATTACAAAGTGATGGAGAAAGGATATGCACTGGTATACATTATAAAACTCCGCATTTTGCCTACATTGATGTAGGCCCTGTTTATTAATATTAGTTGTGATGAAATAATGAAAATACAACATTCTGTTGAAGATGCACTTATATTTTGCAAATAGGAGAGAAGGAGGTACAGTTTTTATTCTTCATTACAGACCACGTTGTTATTATTGTAGCATCTCAAGCTCTTTTTGGGAAGCATTCAAAGTAAATGTTAAAGAGGACGCTGAACATGTAGCCATGTTGGATGCAACTAAGGAAGCAGTTCAGAAATTTCCACTGCGAGGTTGCCCACTCCTGGTCACTAACATTCAGTCTGCCCATGATTGTCGGGGTGCCCGGGATCCCAGCCCCATGATTCAGCAACTTTTAGCCAGTAAAAAACAAAATACGCCAACACCCGCCTCTATAAGGAAGTTAAATCTTATTGGATATGCTTCCTCGTGATCAATGTATGCTCGTTGTGTGTCCTGCCCAAATATGGTTGTTGTACATGTAAGCAGTGCTTTAATTGGCCAATGTACATGTGAGCAGTGCTCTGATTGGTCAGTGAATGCTATTTAAGCAATGCACTTCCCCTTAGAGGGGAGCAAGCGAGAGCAAGGGCAAGGAGGAGGAGCGCATGCGCGAGGGAGAAGAATAAAGGATCCAGAAGAAGATATATCGTGGAGTCTTTCTGCTGGCAGAGAGTGGGTCTCACATGATCTCTATTCTTTTTCATCTATGCATTCAGTTCTTTTAGCCCTACAAGAATGGAGCTGAAGCCCATGTCATTGTCAACTGAAGTGGTCCAGCTCCCGTCTTTATATATGCCATGATCAAATTATAAAAATTGCTGTATTGCAGAGGTGGAAAGCAAAACTGAAATAGGTCAGAGTAAGCACTGAAAGGGATATAGCATAGCTCTTGGTCTTTGGGAAAGGAAGTGAAAAAAGGAGAAGAATGAATGTTTGAGCCAACTATGGGTCACCTCTGGCCTTTAGAATTATTTATTTTTAATGGACTATGTATAGTTTTTCCAAGCCAGGGTTTCCATTGAACTAGGAAGTCCTTTTGGGTTTGACTGTATGTGACCCGCCTACTTCTCTCATCACACGCAGCCCTACGCTGGTCTATTACCCTTTATTGCCCCAGTCGGGCTTCTGAGCTGGATGACTGCACAAGATACTGTGCTATGGAGCATACAGGCCTTCACCTTTCTGAGGAAGAACAATGTCTATATATTTAGGGAAAGACTGTGGGATATTGGAAGATAAGGGAAATTGAGTGGAAGGGAAAAATTGATTTCTAAGGAGAAAAATGGTCAAAATATTGATGTAGTCCATTAGCTCAAGGATCAGTCTTCTTTGGATGTTGTTAAATTCTGCTTTCAAAGAGTAATAATATGGAAACTTTCTAGGCAGATAATGAACCACATTAGGATCTCTGGTCTCCATGTGAATATGCTTAGTCTTGGAAAGGCTAAATAAAAAGTATTGTCCTTTTTATCTCCACTAATTTTCAGTGACTTTTGGAATAATTTAGTTTACACCTATACCATATAAACAAAGCTGATCCAAAATGGCCTCATTGATACTCTTAATACTTGCTATATCCTTATGTCCACACTTCCTACTACCCATATCCCTATGAGGAAAAAATAAAAAAGCCAAGACCTGGATACAGTAGTAAGTGAATCCAGGCAAAAATACATAAGATAGGCTCTCCCTGGTGGTGCAGCAGGTTAAAGTGCAGTGTTGCAAGTAGCTACAGCTGCTTCAGTTAGGGTCCAATCCCCAGCCTGGGAGGTGACCCACCTGGTGCAGCAGACCTCTCCTGACCCGCCTGCTGCTCCCCTCAACAGTGCACTTTGTCAGCTGGCCTGTTCTGTCCCCCACTCTGTCTCTGGTGAATCCTCTCACTGCCCCTGCACTCTCACTCTGGCCTGTAACCCCATTTCTGTATGCATAAACAAAGAAATCTTAAAACAACAACAACAAAAAAAAACCCACAAGCTAGATCTGAATGCAAGTATTACCCCCAACCGTATGGCCATCTTTTGCATTTTACTATCTTTGTCTCTTCACCAAAGGTACAGTACTCAAAGGAAGAAAAAGGTGTGCTGCTTGCTGTCCCTGAAATGGGACAAACTTTGTAAGTTACACACCACGAAAACCAGTTACTTATCCCTGACTCTGCCTGCAATTTGGGTAGCGACCACCAGGTTGGTGGTGACTCCTTGGTAAAGCCTGTCAGCTCTTTCCTAGACATAGGAAAATGCTTAAATATTTATGAAGATATTTTATAAACACTGAAATATTTAAAGCTTTGTATCTATTGAACTGAATGCTAATTTGTTATATTTTCACATTAAAGCTAAGAGAAACTATACTGGAGCAAAATTTAAAGAAATAGCACCACCTAGGGTCAAATTACTGTCAACTGCAATTTCTTTCTTTTTTTTTTTCCGTAACAGTCTTGGACTTTTCATTATTCTTTTTTGTCAGGAGTAAATTTTAAATCATGGTTGCTGTGTGGTTCTCAGGCCATTCAGTTCTGTGAACTGTCTATAGTTCTGATAGTCAAGACTCAGGTTCTGGCGCTGGTTTTGGAAGCTCTGCACCACTGTTTGTTTGCCTGTGGTCAGCAATGGCATCTTAGCATCATTCTCGTGATTGCTGTTCCCGTTTTTTGGGAAAAATATCATTGTACCCTCCCTAGTGGTGCAGTGTGTAAACACAGCACTAAGAAGCTAAAGCCACTTCAGTGCAAGTTCGATCCCCAGCTCAGAGGTGACCCACATGGCACAGCAGACCTCTCCTAAGCCACCCACTGCTCCTCTCAGCAGTATATTTCGTTAGCCAGGCTGTTCTGCTCTGCACTCTGTCTCTGGTGAATCCTCTCACTGCCTCTGCACCTCTGGCCTGTACCCCAGTTCTGTATGCATAAATAAATAAATCTTTAGAAAATATATCATTGTAGTAAAGCTTCAAGCTTAATTCAGTCTTCCTTTCTCAATATTTCCTTATTCAGATATAACCATATAAAAAGAAAGAAAGAACCCTTATCTCCCCACCCCCCCAACCCCCATCTACCTCAGAACTTTCCACTGTGAGGTTTGTATTTTCAATTAACATGCATTTACCACTCTAATGAACTCTTCCCTTGGCATAGACTATAACTTACTTTTCTAGGGAATAGACTTAAATGATACAATAAAAATTTTTCCTGTTGAAGTCTTGTGGTTTTATAAGCTACTCTAGCTCACAGTCTGAAATTTACTGTGCTGTACAAGTCTGAAATGAGGCTTCCTTTAGCACAATTCTGATTCTAGGTTGGGGCACAGAATTCATATTTCTAGTAAGAACCTCAGAGTGATGCAGGTAGTCCTTGCTTCATTCTGAGAAATATTTATTTAAAAGAATATGTGTTTTCAGCAGCAGTGCTTCTAAAACAGTCATTTTTAAAGCAGCAGTATATGGATTGCATCACAAAAATGAGCTTGCATTTTTGAAACTTCATATTTTAACCTCAGACTTAAGATAATGTTTGACTGACTTAGAAAAGTAACAGTAATGTAGAGTTTTTTTCTTATAATACTTAAATGAAAGGATACATTCTCTCTCTTGAGTTTACTTTTATTTAGGTATTACTATTTTTAGATAAAATTCTGTAAATAACTGTGTCTTAATTAAATATGTAGGACTTTAGTATTTGGTATATTGATGAGTTATAGGTTATATACTTGTTTCATGTTTTGGCTTTGTATGTGTCAGGAAGTTCAATTATTTGCATCTTGAATAATAAAGGGGAATAAAAAATTCAATATGCTTTTATAGGTGATCATTAAAAAATGTCAGCTTGCTAGCAGCTTTATATCATAATCCTGTGATTTCAATTAGTTAAATGAAGCAAACAGTTCTTTTTTTGAGAAATCAGAAGTTTTATTTTTCTGTGAATTAGAGCATAGGGAATGGGGAAGGGTTTCTTGTCATTTATGAGAGTTGTAGTGATTTATGACACTTTAGTCAAAAAAAGACCAAACAACATATCATTTGCCCCTTTTCAACGTACTGTAGACATGAATAAAAACAAATATCTCCTTCAACAGATTATAGGAGGGGAAAAATATTTTGAGTGGTTTTTTCAGATTGAAGTAGGGTATTTTAAAACTTGTCAGTGTAACTAGAAATGTTGCATGTCTTATCTGTTAATAATTTTCACTTCCCTAAGTTTTTTAAAATGTGATCTTAGAGAGTAACTTAAGATTTCATCTATGCTTTAAGACTTATTTTTTGTTTTTCTAATGTTTTCTCATACTTCTAGAAAAAATTAAATTGATGTTTTCAGGGCTTTGGTGGAGGTAACATCGGGTGATTTCACTGATCTATTGTGTCTCTCCCCTCCTTTTAGAGTAAAGATGGCAAAAGTCCATTGCACATGACAGCCGTCCATGGGCGTTTCACGCGGTCACAGACCCTCATTCAGAACGGTAAGAGAGGTTCTCTCAAGCATTATTTGAACAGGGGTCTGACTGCATGTGACTGTCAGTCACCTGAATGTGAAAGATGGTGTGCTCTTTTGGAGTATATAAAGCTTGAATTTACATAGCCCTTTGATGTACTTGACCAAAATCTCTTTATCAGATATTTACCCAGTTTAGGAGTGAGAATATAAAGCCATCAAGTTTTGCAGTCAATTCCCAGTCAGTCAAAGACCATGTGAATTTTGAAACTGGAAATGATAATACTTATCTAGGCTCAAGATCTTGCAGTTTCCACTGTGAAACGAATAAAAATAAGTTTTATTAGCAAATCTGTGTTATTTTTAAAGCCTAGAATTCTCATAGTTCCTTAAACTAAAACCATTAAGCTACTTGGGCAAAGGTAGGAAGAATGAGGTGACTCAAAGGAAAACCAGGTAAGTACGTGATAAAAGGAGCATAAAATCACAGGCTTGACAGAGAGCATGGAAAATTACATCCTCTAGTAATTTTCCAGTCTTACAACAGAGGTCTATGTGGACCATGGAGTTGTTCTGTTGCCAAGGGGTATCATGTCATGTTATGTCATGACCTATTTGCAGGTCATGACCAGCTTCTGTGAGAGGGCTCGCCTTGACCACATAACTTCTGTTATCTCTGCAAATCTTAAAGACAGTTCAAAATATAGGGTTAGTCCAGATTCTGTTTCAGTTCAGCAGTTCTGAGGCTATCTTCAGTTGACTCACATTTCCACTTTTCAAAATTCTCCTATTAGTCAAGTTCTTAGCCCTATTTTTCCCCTCATCTCAAGAACTTTGGATGACATACATTTCAATTGTTAGTGGTACTGTTCTGTCTTAGGCACTCAAGTCACAAAACCAAAAAGTCACTTGACCTTTGAAGATCAACCAGTACAGTTACACTTAGGAAGCAAAATATCTGTGGTAAAGCAAAGGAAATTTAGAAGCATTTCAGTAAAGCTGTAGAGGAGCATTATGCTTACAAGTTTCCAATAAGCCAAGGGAGGCAAAATGAAAATTAACTGTATAGCACCCATTAATTCTAATTTAAAATATATGCTATGTCTTTGACATTCACTTTATTGAAAGGGCCATTTTGTTTTATTTTGCTTGAAGTACAGAAGGTGGGGGTGGGTAGAGAGTGACACTAATGACTTTCTTTTGTCTACTTTCCTCATTCCATTATATTTCTAAAATGGCTTTCTGAAGCAAATCTACTATCTTCAAAATAAACAAAAGTAGAGTGATATTTGTTATCTATTTTTTTAATTTAATGTGAAGTTAATCAATGGGCCTTAGCTCTGTGGCATAAAAATCTTCATTCCCGGTTAAAGCAATTTCAAGCACCAGTGATCAGATCAAAGAAAGAGCAATTTTTCACCTTGTAAGCACTGCCTTCCTACAAGTCCATCCCATTGGGCCAGAACTTAACTGGCCATTGCCTTTGAATCAGGTCATGACACATCTCCCCTGCATTATACTAGTGTGGTTACATGCTGCTGGCTGCTTTGAACTCTCCAAAACCCAACCCTGTGGGCTCAAAGACTTCCCTGCCTCCTCCATATACTTCTGCTAGAATTTGATTTGAGGCAAGACCTGAAAGAGACCCTATCCCTTGTCTTTTATGATCAAAGAACTTGTTACAGATCCTGTCTCCTTTTGCTTGTGGAATATGATGGGGTTAGAGATGCAAAGTTGGGAGGATATAGTGGCTATCCCTATAGCCCATTATCTTTTTTTTTTTTTTAAAGATTTATTTATTTATGCATACAGAACTGGGGTACAGGCCAGAGGTGCAGGGGCGGTGAGAGGCTTCACCAGAGACAGAGTGGGGAGCAGAACAGGCAGATCAACGAAGCACACTGCTGAGGGGAGCAGCGGGCGGGCCAGGAGAGGTCCGCCACGCCATGTGGTCTCCTCCGGGGCAGGCGGGAATCAAACTCATGCAGAAGCGGCTTCAGCTTCTCAGTGCTGTGCTTTAACCCGCTGCGCCACCAGGGAGGGCCTAGCCCATTATCTTTAATGATAAAGCTAGCAGTGGTTGATTGTTCACACTGCTAGGCAGCTGGCTAAGCATGCCACATAAGTCCTTTCAGGCATCTCGTGAGAAAGAGGCTTCATTTTAAAGATGCAGAAGCTGAGGCAGGTTGCTTCTCACTTTTGTGAGGATACAGAGCAGGCATGAGGAGGACAGGGATTGGAATCCACGCTAGATAACACTAAAGGCTGAACTCTCAACTAGTACACTTATAAACTTATTCTTTGGATGAATAAAACCGTGGTAAATGTTTTTTAAAACTTGAATTCTATTTATTCTAAGAGTAACTAATGTTTAGAATAGTGTTGTCCCCACAAAAGAATGATTTTTTTCTTCCTTCAGAAGATAATTCTATGCATTCACTGTACACATAAGAACTTCAAGTTTTTTCCTTTGATACTAAAAACAAACAAACAAACAAACAAACAAAAAAACTGTCTTTAGGAAGTTTTCCTTCTGGTTTTTGGCTTCCTACTGGGAAAAAATATAGAGGTAGACGCCTTGGCCCCCAGGCCTGGCGTCCATCCTCCAGTGTGGATCACTGTCAGTAGGATCTGGATTGCTGGTTTCCCACAGGGTCGTGAACTGGCTCCCCAAAACAACTGAATGTGCTGCTGAAGAACATTCTCTTTTTTTATTGTTTTGTTAATTAAGTCTGTGTCAGGATTTTCTAGCATTTCTTTTCTTCTTTGTCCTCACATCAGGGCTATTTTTTCTTTATAGGTGCATTTTCTTAAATTAGTCATCCTTGGTAAGATAATCATTTTAAAAAACAACTTTTATTTTAGCTAGTAAGTAAAGATTGCCTCTGTTGCTCAAATATTTTGTTTGTTGTCACAACCAGAAAGGGGAAGAATTGGATGGACTCAGGACAGTAGCAGGAGCATCGGTCCAGTCACTGGCAATGGGCAACTATCCAGATGCTGCCCAGCGGGTTATAAAATTCAGAAATGATCTTTTCTTCATAGGAACTGTAAAATTAAATAGAATTTGAAAAAGAGTGAAGTGTTAATTTAAGATGAGTTAGGATGAGATTTTTGACCTTTCAGCTTATAATTCTTCTGCAGAGTTTAATACGCTGACCATTTTTTTTTTTTTTTGGTGCAATGGAAAACTATTATCGGATGAGTGCTTAAATAATACTGCGTAAGTTAGCCTTTTTGACATGCTCTGCATCTAAACTCAGAAATGTTTAACTTCCTCACTAATTATCAGTGAATGATTACCAACATTATCAGCGTGAAAGCTTCAAATGAATAAGAAAGATATCTCATTTGTTCTCCAAGCAAATCTTAAAAATTTTTTTAAGAGAAAATGGAATTGTTCCAGTATTTATTGTAGAGATTCATTTATATGGAGATCCTACTTTAATATAAAATTAATTTCTAAATAACGGAAGTTTTATAAGATCAGCTTTTCTGTTTCTACCCTTTCTGGTAGTTTTTATTATTTTCTTTCCTTATCCTATTCTTGGTATATATGAAGCTGGTAAGCCCAAAGGCTTGAACACTTTTTAAGAAGGGTTTAGAGGCTTTTGACTGGGAAAAGACATACATGGAGTGATGCAGTGTTTGTTGAGGAGGCTTCTCTGAAGTCTGGGATTTTGTAAAATAAAATTAAATAATTGAAAAGATTTTACAAAGAATAGGTACTCATTTTATAATAAAAAGTATTGAAATTAATTATTAGGATCTAGGGATTAATATTAGTTTATTATGGTCTGAATTTAGAAGCATTAACTTAGATCAATTATTATTAAGACTGGTAGTCACCATGGGAGCAGACAGTCCCCACCCCATGTGGGTACACAAAGCAGCTCAGGTATGTATTTATGCCCCAGAAGTATCTTTCAACCTATCCCAAAAATTTCTATTGATTATTTGACAAAACTTCAGATTTTTCTATGTATTTGGAAGCTAGGTAGGTAGATATGTAATTATTATTATGATGATGTCCAGAAAGATGGTTATAGTCTATTTTAGCACTGTTTTTTAAAATAACTGCTGTATCATAGAAATAAAGATTTGAGAAAGGATTGACATTTGTATTCAAGTTGCCTTTTATATTTCTCTGTCACAGAGTGAAAAAAGGATTACCCTTTACAAACATTTGCAAACTCCAAATGTGTAAACTTATTGGCAGATTGATTTTTCAAGTTAAATTCTGCAAGTAAGGAGTCTTGGCTATAGAGTAAAGATCTTAAATCCTGAGTAAATGTATGTTCTATTCATAGTTTTTGAAGCATTTGTCCCTTCTACAAAGTTCGTACATATTTGGTAATTTGCTCTCCAATCTGTAGCAAAGGTTTTTATTTACTAATTCTGTTTTACCTTTATACCAAGCTAGAAAAAATATTTTTTGTTGAAAATAAATCTTAAGGAGTCAGAAGTCATAATGACCAGTAGTAGAATTCACTTTATATTGATACTATTATTAAAACAAAAACAAAACAAAACAAAAAAAAGGTATTATGGCCTGGAAGTTAATGCTCTTTTTTGAATGTGAGAAGACTCTCAATGGCCTTTTTAGGGGTAGTGCTCAAGTCTACTGCTAATGGCATATAAATGGGCATAACCTTTCTCAGAAGCAATTTGCTACAACTTATCAGTGGTCTTAAAAACATTTATTCTTTTGATCTAGTATTTCTGTTTCTAAAAATGTTGCTGAAGGAAATCATCTGAAATGCAGAAAGATATTTATAAACATTCTTCTTTTCTTTAATGGTAAAATTTGGGCTTAGTCTAATGCCTAGTAATTGGAACCTTGCTAAGAAAAACTCTCAAAATACCAATAACATATAGCTAACATATAGCCATTCCTAGTTATATTAATGATATTGCAAGTATTTATATTGAATTAGGATGGAGGAAAACAGGATATAAAACTCTTTCTACATTATGACCTCAACCATAGGATATTTACACACACATCTGGAAGGAAATATTCTAAAGTATTAATACTGCTTTGTGAATTTTTAGGCATCTTCTGTTTTCTTCCTTGTTCACTGATCTTCCACATTTTCTACAGTGAGAAAAATTAGTTTCTGAATCTGAAATGTGGTTTAAAACAAATGTATAATATCCTTCTAGATTTATCTAAGCTACTCATATAATATTTACATTTCTCAATATTTTACTTTTTTTCTGGCATATATGTGTGTATATAGTTTAGATACACAAACTAAATAGGGTAGTCGATCTTATAATGGTATGTTTTACTTTTAAAATATCAGCTTACTTTTAGTTTACTATATTGATAATGAGAATAAATCTCAAGATTTGGGCAAGTATACAGAATATGTGTATTACAAATTTTCTATGCGATCTACTCAAAAAACCTTAGGTCTAAGAGCATGACCTGACAATTCAATACTTTACTGTTTTCCATAATGATGGAAAAATGTGTTTAACAGATTTAAAGAATAAAGATGCTCTTTATCTAGTTCATGGATAACCATGAATTAGAACCTCAGACTAACTTATATTCTGTATCCCAATACACGGGGCATTTTCTTTAATTTGAAAAGATTGGCTATTAGCTTACACAAGTCTATGAATGTTCTATGTATTTTTCCCTTGGTGTTTTTCCCTTTCATTTACTTCATTACCTCTTTCTATAGCTTGCTTCAGACCCTTCCTTTTTAAATTGGGATTTAATTTTCATACCACTAAAGTGTACAATTCATCAGATTTTACAGTTTCCACAAGGTTTGACAACCATCGCTATTCTCTAATTCCAGAACATTTTCATTACTCCCTTACAAAACCTCATACCTATTCACAGTCACTTCTTTTTCCTTAATTCCTTTTTCTTGATTTTCAGGGCCTTAATATATTTGGGACATTCCTTTACCAGTAATACATGTTACAAATAGCTTCAAAATATATCAATTTCCCTTTTTTTTAGGATGTGAGGAAAGGCTTTCTAACTATAGCTAAAAAGCTAAATACTATAAAAGACTGATAAATAAATTTTTTTCCAAGGTAAAAACACCAATGATAAGTGAAAAATCTCTGGGGGAGGGGGTGGACAGGGGGATATTTGCATTATGCATTACTGACAAATGGGCATTCTCCTAAATATTTAAATACTTTAAAAGTCCTTGAAATTCAAGAAAGAAAAGAACACACCCGCCTTGGAAAAATTGACAAACTCCATGAGCAAATAGTTTATAAGAAAAAATAAACAATCGTTCCATAAATAGAGAAGAAGATGCTTAACTTCTTAATAAGATAAATGCAAATGAGAGCTACACTATAAACCAATTCTCACCCATCAGATGGCAGATATTCTAATTCCAGTTGTGAGGAAAAGCATTTTCCTACATTGCTCATAATAGTGCAAAATTGCACTGTACCTAGAACTGGGTATCTAGCAAAGCTGCGTATTTTCCCTTTGGTCTAAAAATCCCTTTTCTAGGAATTTACCCTTGAGAGAGGGATCTAAAAAAATATGGAAAAACCTAAGCATGAGACTATTTATTGTAACATTTCTGATAATAGCAAAATGATGTTTATAACTTACCTTTATGTTACCCGGGATTGAAATATCTTTTTCAGGAGGTGAAATTGACTGTGTGGATAAAGATGGCAACACCCCCCTCCATGTGGCTGCAAGATACGGTCATGAGCTTTTGATTAACACCTTAATAACCAGCGGAGCAGACACGGCCAAGTAGGTTACTGAAAAAAATATGGTGGAGTAATTGCCACATGTGGGAATACTGCCAAAGGAATTTTGCCCTGTGGTAAATAGTTCCCATTTATCCAGGTTAAGGTGGATTTGTACCATTAGGCTAGCCACAAATTAAACTTGAAATAAATTGACTTTTCATGACAGATATAAAGAAGAAACAATTTTATTTTTAAGCTACATCAGAAAGAGGACTCTTCTAGTGGTCTGGATGAAGAACACTTGAATTTTACTTTCTAATACTGTTTTTCCAGTGTTCAGTATTATTAAGTAGGATAAAGAAAACGTAATTGGGTAAATTCAGAATTTATTCAGGGTGATTGCTTAGTTTTAGTGATAGGGTTATGGGGTACAATTGAGTCAATCTGCTACATAGTAAAGAGGGTCCTGATTTCTTTTCACACTTGATTAAAAAGCAATAAGGAATCTCTAAAGTCTGTCATAAGCTGTGTGCTATGGAAATTTCAGAAGTAATTCATCTGATTGATACCTTCAAGGAACTCATGAGTTTTTGCAGCCTAGAGCTCATGACCACAAAGAACCATGCAGTATAGTACATAATAAAGTTCTAAATGAAACAGGACTTTTGTGGCAAAAGATTTGGTGTAGACACTGTACGCCATAAAGTACAAACAGGGAAGAGAAAGCTCAAAGGGGATCAGAGATTTTAGAAAAGCTTTTGAAGAAAAGATAGTTTTAGATAGACTTTGAAGGATGAGCTTGATTTGAGTAGAGTGGAGAGTGGCAGACATTCCAAGAAGGAAGGAAAGCAGAGACATGAGAAGAGAGGTAGCCAACTCTGGGAGAGCTCAGTCAGAGAAGAATGTGTGTGAGGAACTTGCGCACTCCCTGGAGGCTGTTGGGAGCCCAGGCTCTCAAGGGCATCTACTTTGGATGTGACCCAAGTTACCACATTTGCAAATTGTGACTTTGAACCTGTTGCTCAATCTCGCTGTCCTTTGATTTCCTCTAAAATAGGGGAGTAATAACAGTGCCTATCTATAAATTTGCTGTGAGGACTAAATGACTTAATTACTGGTAAAGTTCTCTGGGATATAAAGATTGGTATGAGTATGAGTTGTGTAAATACATCTGTTAAGACTATTAAACAAGATAATCCATGTTAAAAGCTCTTTGAACAGTGCCTGGCACCTAGAAAGCTATCAATAAATGTTAACTATTATTTAATTACTCAATATGTAGTGGAACCAAATTAAAAAGGACCCTAAATGCCTTCAACCTTGATCATAGAGACTGGGGGCAACAATAACTGAAATTTCAGGACAGCATGAAGGCAGTGTTATATTAGGAATTCTATTTTATTTGCCAGGTGTGTGAAACAGAATTAGAAAACCTTGAGAGTAAGCTAATATCTAAATGGTTAAAGGAAGCAGTGGTGGAATCATGTTTTAAATCAAGTTCACAGTGGTTGAAATTTTCTGGACTTGAAACTGCATTTTACAGAACACTCTTGTAGATTTTGGAGTACATGGTGATTTCTCTTCATTAGTTCAACATTAAGTTCCATTTGGGTCCAGTGAACTTGTGAGCTGTGGTCTAGTGATGGAAATAAGAATGAGAGCAAGTGACTGCTGTATCATGACATTTGTTTGTAGTCAGGGTTTGGATTACTCTTGGGGAGCAGTCAGGGAAGTACTGACTCTCTGGTTTCCCCAGAAGTGGTAACATTTCAGCAAAAGGAAGAATCGATAGGAATTTAGTGGATGGGGATTGTATGAGGTAAAAAGACAGAGGGGAAAAGCAAAGCAGGACATTCCAGGATGAAAGCAACAGTAATTACAGAGGCAAAAACATATAGATATGTTAAATGCAGATTTTTTAAGGCTGGATTTTCTGATGTTTCTGTGGGGGTTGGGAGGAAAGAGGTAAATGGAACTGAAAAGAACTGAGGTGGAAAGGCAGCAAGTACCACATCTCAAGGTCCTTGCCTGCTAAGGAGTTGGATTTCATTCTGAGACATTCAGAAGCTGTTAAAGAATTATAAGTGGGTGTATGGTAGGTTGTGTCTAATGATCCCATTTGTGTGGAAGAAAGATTTCTCTGATAGCCATCCAGACATGCTGGAGGTGGTCCAGACTAGAAACACTTGGCAGCCTCTTGAAAATATTCAAGGAAGAAAAGATGAGGGCTTGGAATAAGGACAAGGAGGAGGGGAATTCTGACGAGGTGGGGTATCTCCTTTCAGGAGAACTCCTTTCACACCAGAGGGCCTTTTAGGATGTTGCAAGTTAAAAGAATAGATCCACTTTGTGAAATGAACACTGTGTTGAAATTTCTCACTAGATTTTAACATTTCCAGCCAGATCATTTTGCCCTCCAAAGAGAGAGAGCTTTAATGCTCAATGTTCATTAAGCAGAAGTAAAATACCTAGGCACAAATGTACTTCACTTGTGACATACTAAATATTTAGTGGTATTTTCTTTCAGTTCTGGGTTACTTGGGGAGCTTAACATCACAAATTTTTGATTTTAATTCATTTGAAGGATAAAGATAAACCGGGCCCAATACTTACTAAAAACTTCCAAACACATTTAACTCCATAAACACACAGTTTACTTGCTTTCAGTTATGCAAACACAAATCGTGTAGCAACAGTGCCCTAGAAATGGTTTTGTCTTTCAAGTAGTATTTCCTCCCCTTGACTGTTCTGTGTTCTGGAGATACCAAGGAGGGAACATTGTCCCAGCCTCCAAGAGCCACATCTGGTTTCTTTTGTCACAAGATATCTGAGAACTGGACATACTCCCTTTAGAAACTGTGGGCTATTGGGGGCAGGGGGAGAGTGAATGAGAGAGAGAGAGAGAGATCACCTAAGGGGAAATATCAAAATGAGGGGGAGGTGGGGCCTCCCTGGTAGCCTTGGGGTTGTTTTAGTGCTATCACTGATGTGGCCTGAGTTGATTCCTGGCTGGGAGCTGACCCACATGGCACAGCAGACCTCTCCTCTCTAGCCCGCTGCTCCCCTCACCAGTGTATTTCAGTGGGTCTGCCTGTTTTGCTTCCCACTCTGTGATGAATCTTCTCACCCTCTATAACTCTGGCATGTGCCCCAGTTCTTCTATGCAAAGTAAATTTAAAATATTTTTTTTAAAAGGGAGAGGAAAGTTGAAGGTTAAATTTGTTTTCCCTTGCTCTCCTGTACTCACCTGCAAAAATCACTGTTCTCTGTACTTATTACAGTTTTGTGTAGTAGTGCTTATTAAAGAAAAGAAAAACAAGACTTTTCCTTCTATAAGGAATAAACAAGAAGCATTTATAAAAATAATTTATTCTTATTAATAAAATATATGACCAAAAGCATTTTACCAGCTCTTTGGAGTTTTATGGCCATTGCTTGCTTATGAATTGTTTGAATCTTACCCTCTCAGGCTCTTATGGTCCACCTTTTTGCTCCTCTGCCCTTTCAGTCAGAACAGTTACTACATCTCCACTCATTGCTTATACAACTTCATGTGGCTTTAAAGCCCTTTGATTTTTCTTCTTTTACCCAAGTTTGGTGCATTTGCCTTTTCCCTTCCTGGGTAAGTTCTCCCTTCATTGTCTGCCTCCTCTACAGCAAGATTAGAGGTATTGTGGTTATTCAGGTGACTGGGTCAGGCATCTATTCACTCACTAAATGTGAAGGCCTGTTGAGTGCCCCGCAAGTTGTGGGATTACAGAGGCCCCTGCATAAAGGAGTTATCATCCATTGGGAGCAGGAGTTAAACAAAAGATTATCATGCATGCTAAGTGTGATGGTCCAACCATTGCTGGGTGCCTGTGGGCAAAGGAGAATAAACCTGGAACAGAGGTTAAGCAACAGCCAGATCCTGAAGGGACCTTGTAAGCTGTTGGAGGGTTCAGACATGTTTTAAAAGGAACCACTGAAATGTCTGTATGCTGCAAACAGTCAGGGTGGCCTCACTGTTGTCAGTTTTTTTTTTTTTAATATTTATTTATTTATTCATACAGAACTGGGTTACAGGCCAGAGATGTGGAGGGTGAGAGGATTCACCAGGAACAGAGTGGGGAGCAGAACAGGCAGATCAATGAAGTACACTGCTGAAGGGAGCAGCAGGCAGGACAGGAGAGGTCTGCCACACCATGTGGATCTCCTCCGGGACAGGCGGGAATCGAACTCATGCCGAAGTGGCTTAAGCTTCTTAGTGCAGTGCTTTAACCCGCTGCGCCACCAGGGAGGGCCTGTTGTCAGTTTTACCTGATGACTTATAATTTCATGGTACATGACAAGTACTTAGAATGACATGGACAAAATAATTAAATTGTTTTTGTGATTTGGGTTGACTGGCCAAATAAGAGTCCTAAAACTTTGATCAGCAAATGTTTTTGTGTCGCCGACTTATTGAGTAAAAACTAAACACATCCCACCTTCTTTAGGAGAGTTGTGAGATTTATAAAAGCTTTTGAAATGTGGAAAGAAATGGCTGCCTGATCCCAATTCACTTTTGACTTTTAAGGAGTCAAACATCAGATTTTAAGGAAGCACAGCCTTAAAATTAAACCTTCAAAACTCAAGAGTGCTAATACTAAGCTAATACTAACGGCAACGGGAATATTACTGACTCCTCATGTGATTCATGGGCCAGCTGCTCTTTGGCACTTTGTGTACATTATCTCAATCTGTCCTTACAGTTACTCTGTAAAATTGACACTCTTGTTATCTCCGTTTTCTAAATGAGGGAACCATTATACACTTGGTGAAGAAGAAATAGCACAAGCAAAACTGGACTCAAAAACCCCAAAGTTTCTGACCCCATTACCTTAGCCATAGCTTTTTTTTTTTTTTTTTTTTTTTTTTTGTAGCCATAGAGCCTAAAGGAAGACTCTAGAGAAGATTAGGTGTGAGAAGGCACAGCCCTGTCTCCCTGATGCCAAAGGGAAAGCTTAAAAGAATTGATATTCTGTGGTGCGAAAGCCCTTTCCTCACCTCTGATAGCCCCTACAATTTATTCTAGCCTCATTTATTCTGAAATAACTGGGTAGGAGATGCCAGCTAATAGCTAAATTAAAATACCTAATACAAATGTGTTCCATTAGTTTTATGACTGGTTAAATAAATGTAGCAATTTAACTGGAATTGGTCTCTTCTTCCCTATAATTTATGCATAGTTAAGTTTAGTGTTATCAGACATCTTTATTTCTTGGCCTTTGATGTATACCTGGTGAATTAAGAGTGACGCTTTTTATTTGATCAGGATAGTCAAATTCTAATTTTCCTGCTAAAAGTTTTATGATCCTTCCTTTATGAACAATTTTATTTTTCTAACAATAAGGGGGTAATTTTATTTTGAAATGCAATGCATTTCTGAAATGATTCAGAGGTTCTGAATTCTACTTTTATTTTCTTTCCAATCTTGGCCTGTTTGAACCAAAGCTTCATATTCAAGTTCAAATGCCAGTAATATTTGAGTTCAAATAACCTCCATTGAGGTGACAAAGTTTTATTAGCTATGGTATGAAAATGTCTATCGAATAGTTTTTGCTAGACTTTTTAAATTAGAGTAGATTTGTCTCTCTTACCTTACATTTGTAAATAGCAATTTGGGGGGAAAAGGGAAAGATTTAGCTAGTGCAGAGTTTAGGGAATTACCTAAAGACAATGGCATTAACTGCCATTTGGTAGCAACCTGAAGACGAGGTTGATTAGAAGTATTGATGATGAAGTGTATGGACTATATGACAATATTGTTGTTATACTATCACTTTTACTTATGTTTTTCTCAATTGATTTCATTATATAATAGTAATATACTTGTTATATAGAGATAACTTTTTATCTTTAGAAAATATATATTCATATGTATATATACATTATATATTTATATGTGTGTACAAATGTGTGCCTGTGTGTATTTATGTGTACCTATGTATGTATTTATATATATATTTTTGAAGAATGAAGAAGTATTCAGGGTATTTTGAGAAATGAAGTACTTGATTTCAGACACATTCTTTCATGAACTGAAAAAACCCTAAAAAATGTTTAATCGATTTTCTTCTTATAAATGTCCAGTGATATTTAATCATATATTATATTTTGCATTAATTCCCCTAAACAGATTAAATGGTCAGATAAAATAACACTAACTTAAAATTCCACTTAATAAGGAACTTTAAAATGTTAAACAAAATTTAGTGAAACTGTAAATAGCAGCATAAATATAAATGTTTCTTTCTTATCCCTCAACTTTCTCTTCCTTTTCATGAGCATCAAGGTTGTCACTGATGCAATTGCTTTGCAGGTTTTTTTTTTATAAATGATGAGAGAGGCAATTAGAAGCAGTTCTCCTCCACATGACACTGCCCAGAAGATGGGCAAATTGCATGTCTTGATGGATGCCAGCTATTATATACACTGGGCTGGAAATCTCCATATAGGGAAAGGAAAATGAACAGAGCAAAGACTGAACAAAAACACCAATAAATACAAGAGGAAAGAGAGAAATGGTTAATTGCTGGCAGCATGGATTGTGAAGAACACTGAATATCATGAAATATCTGTGAATATGTGTCTTCTCACACACATCATACTAATTTTGAGACAGACAATAAAAATCAGGTGTCTAAAGCTTAACAAATTCAAATCATATGTGTATTTTATGAGGCATAGAATCTGTAATCAAGTCACTTTATGCCAAAGAAACAATTAATGCTGGTGTAAATATATAGAGGTCTCTAGAGACTGTGTTATTCAGAAGATTTACAAAATTTGAAATACAGTATTTGAATAAAAGATGTTATGATAAGTGATCACTAACATAAATGCTTATAAATACACAGGAACCACTGATGGTGCTGTTTGTTATGTTATATTCCTGGGGCGTTGTTCCAGGAAAGGTGATGGACAAGAAGTGGAGGATTTAATTCTGAAGGCAAAAACCTCTGCTATCAGGTTACCTTGGACCTCTTAAGGCAGAATTTTGGAGAGTGTATTATGGTGGGGCACAAGTCTGGGAAGATCTTTGCTAGATTTTTCTCTGTAATACATTTGGGGAAAATACAGATTTATGAAAATATACAAAATATTTACTACTCCTCTGCTTTCGAGTCTCATATCCTCATGTGGGTTAATACACAATGTAAAAATTTACTAGGGAGATGAATTTTCACTTGCAAAGGTAAATATTAGTTTGTAGTTTCCACAATTTTTTTTAGTAATATAGCCATCATTAATATTTAGCAAAATGCTTGGCACGTGATCGGTCAATAATAATTATCTACCAACTCAAAATATAAAAATTGAGTTTTCAAAGTAAGTTTGTGTTTTTATCTTCAACACTTAGTATAGTATCTGATCTTTATACCATGTTGAATAGATGAATGACTGAATGAGACATAAAACCAGTAAGTTGTAAGAAAGAGATTCATTTTAAATGTCATGGGTCACTTTATGTGAAACATTATTCTAATTAATGTACATTCCTATTGTTATGGGTTTTTAATTCTGGCTGTGTTCAGTATTGCATTTTAAGGTAGACAATGATTATGTAATTATTAAATAGAAGTGTCACAAAATTCTTTTAGTTAGTGTCATGAATTTACTTTCCATCAGATAACTTCAGAAAGGTAATTATCCTCTATTTGTGTCTTGAAATCTGTTCCCGTGAGCTGTTCTGTTTTTTTTTTTCCCCCCTCCTCAGGTGTGGAATCCATAGCATGTTCCCCTTACATTTAGCTGCCCTAAATGCTCACTCTGACTGCTGCAGAAAGTTGTTATCATCGGGTAAGTACCTCCATTACCCGAGATGAGGCTTAATGTGTTCTGTCAGGGAGTCACGTGGCTTCAGGTATCTGGCCACAGTGAGTGGCTACCCGTGACTTGTGTTGTTCATTACCTGCCTTGGCTGGAAGAGCTCTGTCCACAGCCAGCTTTGCGTGGCAGCTCCCGGCAGCCCTTCGTGTCACAGCTGTTTCCGTGTCAGTACTGACTCCTGCCCCAGAATGAGTCTTGTCTGTTTCTCAAGTTAAATGTTCAGTGACCCAGGGTAAGGGACAGGCAGAGATGGCTGTAGCTTACAGGACATTCATCGTAGAAAGAGAAAATACCTTGAGTCTCAAAATACCTTATAATGGTAGCCTAATATTTAATATTTTTCTATAAAGGACAGAGACCCTGTCCCCCACAGTTTGATAGCTGTTACCTTCCTACTCCATTGGCTTTGAAAAATTACTACAGTTAACTACATATCCACTCCAACGAGGCTTAATTTTTATTTTTTTTAAACATGGGCCCATTTGGAATCAAGAAATTCATTATGGTTTGGAGCTTTGCTAATCTTTTTTATCACTGTTTCTGCCAATCCCGGTGTATAAAAAAGCTCCTGACTTTCACAGGTGATAGAGGTCTGCAAAGCAAAGATTATTTATGAATTAATTCAAAAGATGTCCCAGAGAAAAATTTTCCCCTTTACTTATGTTACCTGTGGTTGATGCTTCTTCCGCTATCTATAGCGTGTTTAAAAATAATTCTTGCATGAAAGCATGTTTGCTAAATCTTAAACCAACTGAAAGCTAGTAATACATTTAAGAAAGTATCTATTTCAGCATGTTAAGACTATTTCTTTGCCTTCCATGTTTTCTCCATGTCTTCTGTCTGCCTATCTATTGCCCTACTTATCTCAAATTGGTTTCATAAATTTCTATCCTGGGATTGAAATATGGGGCTGTGGTTCACCCAGGGCTGAATGTGAAAATAAATTCTTTTTGACTTCACGGTTCTTCCTATAAAATTGCCAAGCTTGAGTAGTTACCATTCGTTTCCATGACAACCTCTTTCTGACTACAATTGCTTGTGTTCTGGTTTTTCTACTAACTGATTTTTCTGTCTCTGCAATGTTTCTTGTGGTTTAACTAGGACAAAAGTATAGCATAGTATCCTTGTTTAGTAATGAGCACGTGCTGTCTGCAGGCTTTGAAATAGACACCCCAGATAAGTTTGGAAGAACGTGCCTTCATGCTGCTGCTGCAGGCGGGTGAGTAGTTAGCAATTTTAGTTAATTCATGATTTGATTACTAATTTATCTTAATTTACTTAAGTTGTCTGTGAATCAATTTCCTTAGCAAAATGGGAAAAATCATTTCTACTAATACCAAATATCAGTATTTTTGCTTATCCATATTTCTTGATGTTTTCTTCTTTCAAAGAAAAATAAGCTTATCTTCCATAGCAGAGTTTTTCTTTTCTCCTTGTCTCTTTTCTTTTCTTTTATTAATTTGTAGTTATTTTGCCAACCGGAATGTGTATCTAGTTGGTCCCTCCACCACCAAAAAAAATAATTTGGAAATTGTTTCTAAGTTTTTCTGAGTTAATTCAACTTCATTTGCAGACATTTTGATCCTAACTCTAAAACTGATTTTTACATATATGTAATAATTGAGTGTGAACAACAACAAAAAAAATTCAAGGGATGCAAGAATGAGTTAATCCTTGCCTTTGTTTTTTAAGTTGTAAAGAGAAATTTTCATCAGGTACTCTTTCGTATCAGTGGTTAGAGTAAGACTCTGATCAAATTGCTGTTGACACATGATCATATGGTGACCAAACTTGTCCTCTCTCAGATGACCTTGTCTGGGTAAGGTGCTGGCTTGCAGTCCATTTCCTAGGCTTCAAAGAGTAGCAATGCTTCTCTATTTGTGCTCTGTACATCTCTGATTTGTCAGTGGTAGAGAGACCCTGGCACTTTATAGTTCTTACTTGTGCAGATCCCTTTTGAAGTTTTACATTTAGTTTTGTGGTCATAATTTTGTATTATTTTTTAAAAAGATTCTCTTCATCCACCCCCTGTAATTTCATGAGCTTCACAAGTCACACAACTTGAGTCTTTCTCTGCCTTTGGTCCTTTGGCTTCTTCCAGGGAGAGACAGGTGCTTCACTTCAACTGGCAGCTACACCCACTCAGAATAGTCTCAGAAAATTCTTATATTTTATGATAAAACAGTTCTCTGAGAAAGGGGGCTATAAAAGGTAGGTGGGGGTGGGGAGAGCTCTGTTCAGGTTTATCATTAATGAGATAATTTTTCTTATTTAAATGATAATAAAATGGTAAAACCTAGCCCACTTCTTAGCAACCTAAGTTTAGAAGAATAATGGATAACTGTCTCTTTTTATGGCCACCTTAAAAAATATATCAGAAAGTGAAAATACACCATTCTGGATTCATGCCTGAAACTTATGTTAGAATTAATATTTAGCTATATGTCCTTCAATAGGAAAATTCACTTCAGTGGGTTCTTTTTTTCCCTAGTAAACATGATTTATTGCTTCTGAGAATGACAAAGAAGCATAGAAAGATCAGTATGCTCCATTACATCATTTTCAGCCTTGGTTCTGCACATTTATTTACCTAGATTACAAAGACAGGGAAATGCAGCTGTTTTATTTTCCATTTAAGACAATCTTGGTCAGAAGTGGTTATGATGAATAGATTTTGCTGTGATAAAAGTTAATGTTTATCCACACTGGATTGTTTGTAGATGACATTAAATTACTATTGGTTTAAAGAATTATTCCATAAACTGGTTTTAAAAAAGAACATGCAGTAAATAATGAAACCATCACTAACAGGTTTAATCATGTAATAATCATTAAGTCTTTTGGTCATAGAATTGAAAATTTTTCCTCAACATCTTTAATGTATTGATTTATTAAAAATTTCAGAAACTTCAGCCCCCTACTCTATCATATTCCTCTAATATTTTCAGGTTGTTCTTGTGTCAGCAGAATTTAAAACTAGAGCTATCATTTCCTCTTGGTCTACACTCTAGAAAACAGTGCTTTGTGATGGAAGCCTAGCAGTTGACCTCTTCTGTCTGAATAATGTTTTCCCTGTCTTTCTAGTAATGTGGAATGTATAAAACTCTTGCAGAGCAGTGGAGCAGATTTCCATAAAAAGGACCAATGTGGGAGGTATGTAAAAGGGAACTCTGCTTCAAGTGCCTAAATAAAAGGAGCAGGAGGAGTCAATCTGGAAATCACATTATGTTCAAGCAGTACATAGGGAAACTAGCTGAGGGGATTCCATTCTCAGAAGGAAATCCCTCTTGTCACAAAATGCCAACAAATCACAGCCATAGGAAAAGCGCCTCTGCACAGCTTCTGTTTAGTGGTGCATTGTCTCTCTTTTTCTTCCAACTTTAAAAAATTTCCTGCATGGATATAATTACAAAAATTCTGTTTATAGCAAAGTAGTACACTTTAGCACCCCAAACCCAAAATTTGGTGTCAAGATCCAAGACATTTTATCATATGTATCAGACATTTAATCTTGGGATAAATCTTTAGACAGGTTTGAACATTAAGCACATATACCATCACCGTCACCACCACTGTCACCAGCTGTGCCTTTGGCTGGTGGGATGAGTCATAGACTGTTTCTCACCTCAATAAATCTTTGATAAATCCTGCTAAAACACTGGCTGCTCTGTGGATATGCATTACACACACACACAGCATCTCTCTGTTCCTCTGTCCATGCATCCTGGCTCTTGGAGTTGCCACAGATTTCTTCTCTTGCCAACTTACCTAGGTCAATCAATTCCCTACTCCTCTCCTCATCCTTCCAGAATTATATTAAGTGACACCACCCGTCCACACTCTCTGTTCCCCTAACTAGCTACATACTCCACCATGCAGCACCATCACACTCTTCTTTTTTTATTTTATTTTATCCATCCACTCTTCTGTTGGACTCTGTGTTTCTTTGTCTCTCTCCTCACCTGACTAAGGGTCTCCTAAGATCAAGGACTGGATCTCTCTCCTCACCTGACTAAGGGTCTCCTAAGATCAAGGACTGGGATCTGTCATTGATGAAACCTAGTCATTTTCAGTTTGATTAGTTAAAACACAAGCAATCCATTATGCAAAATATTTACAAGAGGAAAACATCAACTAATGAAAAAGTCCATAAATATAAACATAAAATACTTAAATATACATAAAATAAACAGTTCTTGAAACAAAGTTACTTTATTTCTAGTATTTTGTTTACTCTTGAAAATTGGCTAGATACACAGGTAAACTGAAATAATCAAATACTAAAAATAAGTAATGAAAAACAAATCCCTTATTTCTGTAATACCTTAATCTCTACAAAGTGCTTGTTTTTTCTAGCTGCTACTAAGCTAGTTTTTTATAGAACTCTGTAAAGTATATGGGAATACTCACTTCCCTTTTTGATGGAGGAAAAAGCTGAGGCCAGAGAAACTAAGTGATTTAAACATTGACACAGAATGTTAAACTTAGAACAGACCTTAGGGGACAGCTGCTCAGAGCACCTTATTGGAATAGGATGAAGCAGCTCAGGCTCAGAAATGATTTGGCTCAGCTTTCAAATCTGCTCAGACTAGAACTCAGGAATTCTGATTCCTTATGCATTGTGCATTCTTTCCGTTGGTTAGCCTACATCCCTACCCTCAAGGAGCTTCTAGTTTAGTGGAGAAGATGAGACAACACTAGTAGTTAACATGGGGCAACTGTAATATGATCTCAAGAGACCAGGACAAGGAATGCATAGGTTTTAAGGGCTTAGAGCAGTAGTCATATGTGGGTATTGTGCCTTAGAAAACCCATTTCTTCATACCAGCTGGAAATGTGATGGATGTTTGATTAGCATTTATGAGTCCAGTAAGGATGGCATTGCTATAGTCCAAATGAAGAGTATTGGAGACCCAAACTAGAATTGGCACTGGAAAAGAGAATAAAAGATAGATCCAAACGGAGGGCCTTGCTTGAAGCCTGGGTCTATGGTTTCAGTTCTAATTTATAAAGTCAAAGGAAGATGCCTTGACCTCCAACCCCCAGGAAGACTGCTGTCATTGCTAGTGCAGATGATGAGTCTGTTCCTCAGATCAAATGAAGTACTAAACGTCTGTTTGTTTTTCAGGACCCCTCTGCACTATGCAGCTGCAAATTGTCACTTCCACTGTATTGAGACATTAGTAACCACAGGGGCCAGTGTTAATGAAACAGATGACTGGGGTCGGACAGCCTTGCACTATGCTGCTGCGTCAGACATGGACAGAAAGTAAAAACAGCCTTGCTTATGCTTCTCTGGGCTTACGGTGGGGGGATGGAGGGTGGTGGGAGAGTCCACTGTTTCCCTTCATTCTGCCTCACGTAGACTGTGAATGAAGAGTCTCTTTTATCCAGACCCAAAGGATTTAGAATTACTTCATTCCTAGCCCTGCTTTTCCCATTCCACTCTCTTTATGTTTGATTATTACATGTCACTGCACAATTACTTCTCTGTTCTTTGGGTGGAATGCCAAATGGAGCTGTCAAACCCAGGTTTTCAGTTTATTCAAAATATGTTGTAATCTATTTTGTCATATACTGTAGTTTTCATTATCACCACTTGGATGCTTCATTTGCTGTAAAACTTACATTTGCTAATAATAAATATGTCATATGTTGAAAATACCCATTTATGCATAATCCCAGGAACCTCCAAAAGTGGTGTCCATATGTTATAAACAGGCACCATTGCTCAGTGTGGGTACACATGCTTTTTCAGTAGGAAAGCTAGAGAAGAAGTTGTTGCCTTGGGCCTGTTTGGATTTTAGGTGGCTAGAGATGGAAAGCAGCAATAACTGAGCTAGTTCTGAGGTAAAGATAGAAATGCCCATGGCTTATGAGACTGTTTTCAAAGACTGAAGGACCAGGGTCCCCTTCATAGAAATAGTTTTTGGTGATCCTGTTTGGAGAACCATTCGATCATTTGCTGTTGTATGCTTTAGATTGATTCTGGGTCAGTGTGAACTCTTTCTCATAAAGCACTTTCAGACATTTTAAATGATAACCCACAATAAGAAATACATTTTACATCGTTACCCAGAATACACACTCATATAATATGTTGTGTATACATATATATACTTATACCCATGTATATGTATGTAAAACAGAAACAAAAATTTCATGAACCCATTTCATTTTGACTATGTGTGATGAATTTGGATGTTATCTTTTATATACAACCCACTGAGTTCAGTTTGGAAAACATATGTTCGTATCATATAATACTGGGTTGTCAGATGTAGCACTCAGGCTCCCATAGCCATGAAGGTTATTGATTCAACAAACATTTATTGAGCATCTATTATGTGTCAGGCTCTATGATATTTATTTCAGTGGGGAAAGCTGGACTTCATCAATGAAGAAGTAGAAAAATAATCCTAAATAATGAAGAACTTCTGTGCTAAATGAGGGATCACTATGATCCATTGAATAAGTGAGATGCTGATTGGCAAAAAGACATCAAGGAATGTGGTGAAAGAGATGGTGAAGCTAAATTGCTTCCTCTTAACTGGGGAGTTTAGGATATTTACTAAAGTGTGGTCAACTGACTGCTGTTTTATTCACTGATAATCTGGACAAAAGTCTCAAGAAAGTCATTTTGTCAGTTGGATTCCTTGGGAGATGATAGGTTTACTGACTGGACTTAGAGAGAACCATGAATACCCTCAATGAAAAATGAATAGTGCTCCTTACCTTTGGGTTATGCTTTTAATTATTGAGATTCAATATACATTACACCGAGTCATGAACAACTTTGCCAATAAAATATTAATTGTATTTATTTCCTTCCCTTATGCCGAGAAGTAAGACTATCTTAGGAAATGCTCATGAAAATTCAGAAGAACTTGAAAGAGTCAGAGAGCAGAAGGAAAAGGAGGCTGCACTGTAAGTTTCTTCTCAGCTTAATTTCATGGTGCCATTACTGATGCTTTTTCTGCCTTTCTAGGGTGCCATGTGGACCAATTCTATTGTTTGGGATCTCAGTTGTTACCTGCAGGAGGTTCTGTGGTGTTTCCTTTAATAAAAAAGAAATTGTTATTTGAATACATCCTTCAATTACTTTCACACTGGGAGCTCTTTCTAAAATCGTAAACTTCCCAGGACCATCATGGAAATTGATCAACATTTTCTAGGCTTATGTATCTTAAACATTATTTCTGACTTATCCATGTGTCATGTGCCTCGGGAGACATATTAAACCTTTTCTCCAAGCTGTAAGTTCCCCCTTTATGATCTGGCATTAACAACTATTTATCAATTCTGTAAGTAAGTATTTTGGTGTGAAGTACACTGGATGTACACTCTCCTCCCTCACCCACACACAGGCCAACTTACAGAGAGCCGCTGCCCTCTACAGACAGCTGCCCCTATCTCCTTTCATTCCACCCATTTCTTGCTGGTTCTAAGAGCCTGAGCCATTGCTGTGATGGGGTCCGGAGTGACCACCATGTCCCAAGAGTGTTGCTACACAGCAAGCTCAAGTGCTTTGTCCTTTGAGAGTCCTTTCTGCCCTGCAAGTCACGGTGAGCGCTCTGCCCAGTGCAGTGCTGGCATGTAGCTGGTGTTCAATAGTTGTAGGGTAGCCAACCAGCTCCTAAATGGGGCCCACATTTTCAGTCAGCTCCCATGGGACTTATGGATATAGTTCTCTATGAGTCTGCACACACTGTCCTTCCCTTGTCTATTCTCTTCTTCAGTTGCCAGATGAACTGACTTCCCTATGGCCTGAGTCTACTCGGGCTTCCCAGTGCCCACTGGGCTTTCCCCCCTGGTCCAGACTATTGTCAAAGGGTACAGTTAGAGAGTATGGCTCCAGTGCAGGTTGTGGGACATAGCTTGGTTACTGGGGTAGGAACAGGAAACATAGCTGTGAGTAAAGAAGAATGACCAAGATTTTTCCCTAGTGCCACAAAATTAAGATAATGATATGAAAAGAATGCAGAACTTTAACTGACATCAGCGAATTCCCCCTTTTCCAGTGAAATGCAAGCTTAGCCTGGTCCTACTTAGAGCTAATGGAGAGAGAAGGAGCAGAAGGCCAGGGAACCAGTCTGCCTGAGAGCAGTCTGGTGCACAGAGAGTCTTTTCCCCTTGTTTAGACACACTTCTGACCCAATGTGCATCACTTAATTTTGCAACTTAACTGCCAAAATTGGTAATCAGGGTGTTAAGACACAGTTTGGAGAATATTCAAATTCTCTAGTACTGTTGCTACTTCTGATAATACTCTTGGGTAGTATGGTTCCATTGTATTATGGGTTAAATAAGTTTTGGGGAGCAAGTCTAAATGTTTCCCGAGTTACATGTTAAGTGTGTCAACTGTTAGAATGTAATCTTTTCAGCAGCTTAGAATTGTGTGTCTACCAGAATGCCAGTCCTACTAAGAGATTTTATTTAATGAGCCAGTTCAGTTTTAAATGAGTAACACTTAGGATCCAGTCACAGGCATTCAAATTACCAAAATAAAACACAGACTTCCTTATAAGGTGCAGCCTGCTATCAGGACTCTTAATAGTCTGATTTAACAAGGAGCATTTTGTGGATAAATCATGACATGAAGGTATTTGGTTTAAAAATTTATGTCTTTCTTCGTTTTTTTTTCTCCAGAGGCTAAAATATTTGTTTAAATTGTCTGTATGTGTGCTTTGCTTATTCTTTTTGCCTCATGCCAAAAGTTAGGTAAATGTTCCTGAGTAGACTAAAGAAAACTTTCCTTTGGAAGGTCTTTGTTAAATGTACAGGCTCCTGTTTGGAATCTTAACTTGTTTATTTGCATGTGACATTGAATCAGCTTGGCCTTGTAAGGGACATGTTTGTCCCACTGTCTCAGATATAACACTGAAATGGTGGTTCTGTGCTCTCTGCTGCACCAGCAAGGCTGTACAGCTTGCACAAGCCCTGAGCAGAACACAGAGCAGCCTGTGCTGGACCTGGGTCTCTTCACCACAGAGGGGCCACGCTGTTTTCTCTGACCTGTTGCAGATTGTGGCTTTTTTTTTTTTTTTAAAGATCCATTTATTTATGCATGCAGAGCTGGGGTACAGGCCAGAGGTGCAGGGTGAGTGAGAGGCTCCACCAGAGACAGAGTGGGGAGCAGAATAGGCAGATCTGTGAAGTACACTGCTGAGGGGAGCAGCTGGGGAGATGGAGAGGTCTTCCCATGTGGGGTCAGCTCCAGCCTGGGGATCCAGTTCATGCTGCGGTGTCTGTGAACGACTTCATAGTGCTGCACTTTAACCCATTGTGCCACCAGGGAGGGCCTGCAGATTGCAGCTTTTTCAGAAAAAGTACAACTCTGTTAGAGAAGGCTTTTAAGATTTATTGTTTATTGTTCACTTAGCCTATATTTGTAATGGTATAACTGAAGTGTCTTTTTCCATAAGTATCTTCTGAATTAATCACTTGTATTATTAAAATGTTAACCCATGACTTTAGCCTTTTATTATTTATTCTTAGGTTCTCATTATTTTGGGGGTTTGGTTCCTTACTCTCTTTAAATTCCATTTTACAACCTTTTGATCTTAGAGTGTTCTGATTTCAAATAGTCTTCTCTTAAGGTTGTTCATTTTTGAGCATCCTTTTTCATATGTGAAACTTTTATCTTTTGAACATCAAGCTCTAAAATTCATAATCCAGGTAAAGATAGACAGGTTCTGTGCCTTAATATGAGAAGTTGGGGGTGGGGAACCTTAATTACCTTTCCCAAGTTGAAAAAATGCTATTTTAGGCTGAAATATAAATAGGAACAGAAAACACACATACATTTAGAGCTTCCAGGATAAAACCTAATTGCTTTAGGATTCTTCAAGGAACACTTAATTTCACAAAATGGTTTGTGGGACATTCACAGTAAGTGAACATTTATTTTATCTTTTTTGGTCCAGTCATATTTTCCAAAGTAACCCCTCATCTTTATACCTAACAGATGCCTAGAGTTTCTGCTTCAAAATGATGCAAATCCATCTATCCGGGACAAAGAGGGTTACAATAGCATACATTATGCTGCTGCCTATGGCCACAGACAGTGTCTGGAATTGGTAAGTTGATTTGTCTTGTTCTGTTTCTCAGATACACATGTGTGCACGCATGTGCATGCAACCTGAAATTGTTGGTGTTAACTTCTCAGCAAATGCTCTCACTGCTTCATTAACTCCCCTCTAGTAACCATCTTGAAGATTTTCTGTTGTGAGTGATTAAATTCTTTCACTTTGTGATCTGTAGATCTGTGTTCTATTTCTGTCCATCCTAATGTCAGAGATGTCTGATAGCTCTTTTTCATGGTAATGTGGGCTGGGGATGTTAGATCCATGTGTGGACATATTTATATTTTAAAGATCATTTGGGTGTATCAAAAGTATTTACTTCTGAAGGCATATTCAGCAACCCCCCATTTTAAATAACTATGTTGAAAGATACCAAACCATTAGTCATATGCATTTATCATGGGTCCACATTTGTAGTTTAGGGGAGAAATTTGGCAGTAGTCCAGCAATGAAATATACTGGATTATACAAACCACTAGAAATTTCAAACCTGTAATGATCAAGAAATTCCCGGAAGCTTAGAGTCTGAAATTCCGCTGTTGATACAAGCCATGATGTGCAAACTCAACCCCATGGAACAGAAATAGAAAGTAATTGAGTGAAATGATCCCAGGGAGTGGTGGGGATTGTGGTAAATAGACAGGACATGTCCTGTCTAAAGGGAGAAACAGCTTGTCAGCTTCAGCTGATTGAGACCAAATGGAGTGCTCCATTTCCAGTGTTTTAAGAGAAATTAGAAATTTAGACTTTTTATGTGAATTTCCTGTTTTGAAAACACTGGGTGGGCTATGAAGAAAATATGTGGATTTGTGGTAGAATCTTGAATGTATGCTATTATTTATCATCCCCTGATTACTGTCCCTGGTTCTGCTTCACTGAGATATATGGAGTATCTCAAACTCACTATCCCTGGTCCAATGACAGACAGACACACTGCCTTTCCTGACTCCAACTCTCAAGTGTTATTTTACAAGCAGAAGTGCTATTTTCAGAGTTATTTGGAGGTGTGTTTGGAGAATGCTTGCATTTTTTTCTTTTGTCAACTGCACAGTCAGTTGAAAGAAGCAGAAAGCCAGAATCAGTGGTGTGAGCTCCTGGTGGGAAATGATCTAATGATGCCCCAACTAGTTCCGTCAACTTAGATTGTGCTACTTACTGGTTTAAAAGTTTCATTTGGGGTCTTTTCTACACTGTTCCTTTTAACTGCAAATGTGAGGTAATGTTCATAAAGGTCACCCAGGTTGAAAATAAAAAGGGAGCCCTTTCTGGTGGCACAAAGCACAGCACTGCGAAGCTAGCCATAACTTCCTCGGTGCAAGTTCCATCCCCACTGGGAGGTGACCCACATGGTGTGGCAGACCTCTCCTATCTCCCTGCTGCTCCCTCAGTCGTACTTTGTCAATCTGCCTGTTCTCCCCACTCTGTCTCTGGTGAATCCTCTCACCACCCCTGTACCTCTGGCCTGTACCCCAGTTCGGTATGTATAAATAAATAAATAAACTTTTTTAAAAAGAAAAAGTTAAAGTTATTTTAGGTAAGATTATTTTGTGTGGCTTTGTGCATGGCTCTGGGTCATGCACAGAAGTTTGATAAAGACTTCTGAGTCCTCTTTCCTGAGGTTCTTGTGGATACAGAGGATACTGAGATGTCCTTGTTTGATCTTGGCAGTGGAATTTTTGCCTCTACTTTTGATATAGTCATCATCTTCTTCCAGTTCCAGTGACAGAAATAACCCTAAGAGTTACTGATTTAAAAAAAAAAAAGATTTATGTATTGCTCACTGTTTCTGTGGATCAGTAATTCAGGAGTGGCTTATTTGAATAGTTATAGTTAAAGGTCTCCAGTGAATTATGGAATGTGATTAGGCTGGCATGATTTCAAAAGCTTCTTCATTGATATGTCAGTCAACAAGTTCGGAGATTCAGACAGCTGACAGTCCTGGGACTGCGCTGTGTCTCTGTGTGGATTCTTTATGTGGTTTTCTATACTGCGGCATGTGGCACTTCAGAGTAGTTGGCTCTTTTACATGGTGGTTCAGGAATCCAAAGGTATCTGCCTTGGGAGAGAATGAGAGTGAGGTCAGAGCAAGAGCACAGCATGAGCAAATAAGAGGAAGACACCGTAAACTTTTTTTTTCTTTTTCCCTTATTTATTTTTTACATCATTCTTCATTTTGTACATTTTTCTGTCTCTGTTGTAGTCCCCGTGGGCTTCCCAACCACCAGTTCCCCCATGTGCCATCGCCATAGCCCTGTGCCCTCTTCCCACCCTCATTTTTTTTTTTAGTGTTTTTTTTTAAAGATTTACTTATTTATTTGTACAGAACTGGGGTACAGGCCAGAGATGTGGAGGGTGAGAGGATTCACCAGGGACAGAGTGGGAAGCAGAACAGGCAGATCGACGAAGTACACTGCTGAGGGGAGCAGCGGGCGGGTCAGGAGAGGTCTGCCACGCCATGTGGTCACCTCCGGGGCAGGCGGGGATCGAACTCATGCGGAAGTGGCTTTAGCTTCTTAGTGCTGCGCTTTAATCCGCTGTGCCACCAGGGAGGACCCACCCACCCTCATTTTTATCCCATTCCCTTTCTACCCCATACCGTGTCTCTGGTTTATAGTTGTTCTTTGTTCTCATTTTACTTTATTACATTTGCTTCTCTCTTCCCCACCCCCATTTCCCTTATAACATTTTTTAAAAATATATTTTATTTTATACACACACACACACACACACCATTTCCATTGTTCTTCATTTTGTACATTTTTTTTAATCTCGGTTGTAATCCCTATGGACTTCCCACCATCAATTTACCTATGGACATAACATTTTTTAATACTCTAGCCTTGAAGCCATATAGGCCACTTCCGCTGCATCTGTTCATGGAGGCAATCACAAAATCCAAGGGGATGAAGCAGACACCACCTTTCAAAGGGAGGAGTGTCAAAGAATTTGTGGTCACGTTTTATAACCACCCAGTTTCAAAGAAGTTTATTTTATAATCTCCCATAAGATGCATTTTGATATAGAATTGCAAATGAGCAAGGAGCAATTCTTTGGCTTTTAGATGAGAAACCAAGCCATAGTGCTATTAACTGGTTTGTCCAAAGTCAAAAGAACTGGTAAGTGGAAGAAGTGAGACTATAAGTCAAGATTGCTTATTGTGGAAAAAAATTATGTCTTCTATTGCAAAGCACTGCCCACAGTGTTTTTAGATCCCACATAAGGAAGGTTTCTCTCAGACAGAGAGAGAAATAGAGACAGACAGACAGAGAGAGTTTGTGTGAAAGAGAGAGAGAGAGGAGAGAGGTCAGCGAAGACTAACTGCTATATACCTTTTTATGAGCCTCCTCACCAACATGTACTTAAGACAACTGCCTTTAGTTGGTTTTCTCTGTGAAAGTCATATACATAATTGGACATATGGACTTTTATTACAGTTTGTTGTTATAGCCTTAATAGCATTCTGTTTCAAAGTGCATTTTAGCGAGTTATCTTTAATCCTGTAGTATAGTAGCTCAGAATGATTATCCTGTAATACCTTGTTTCCATGTAAATAATGTATTGCACATTATTTTCATTTTGCAGAAGTCACTTCAGGGCGATGATTTCTGTAATTCAACAAAGAGATTTTCTGTCTACAAGGAAATTTTACAAGTCCTGTCTGATAAAATCATTCCTTTGATTAGATTAACACTTGTCCTGTGTGGTTTACAAAGAGATGATTATTGTTGGCAATTATAAGACATTCACACACAGATGGGGGAGGTATTAATTGATCTTAATTAACACTGGCATCTGAAAAGGAGCTGATTATCCCTATAAATTGGTAGATTTTTGCTTTTAGCAAAGAACCTCAGTGAGTCACTTACAACACTGTTGGACTGAAATTCTCCTGTCATTTTTTTGAATGATTATTGTTGGATGGGAAGTTCTTTGTATTTCCATTTTTGGAATGTTTCCTAAGTTTTTCTTGGATATAGTTCACACTAAGAAAAGATCCTAAGCAGCTATCAACATTCTTGTGCCTGCCCCCTCCCAATCAAAAGAAGACAGATTCTTTAGTTTTCCTTTAGGACTGACATCACAAGTCAGAGATGCAGGTGTCTTATCTCTCTTGCTGGCTCACCCAACGGTGAATGGATTCAAGAATGGAAGACATAGGATAAAAGAGTTCTAGAAGGAGAAGAGAGGGGGAAAACATATCTTTATGTAAGAAGTGGCTTTTTTTTTTAAGGAACATCTTTTCTATTTTAATATTCTTTATATAGGAACATAATACACTCCTATCCCAAGAACCCCCATTTTTGGGTTCGTGATGTTATGAAAACATGGCAATTAATAGTGTGCACTGCAGATTGTTTTTTGAGACTCAGAATTGCCATCCAATCTTGTCCTGCATCTCACAGTACACATCCCATTACTCCTGAGGATCTTTTTTTAACAAATTGGCTGGCCCTGGCTCTGTGCTAGATTCAGAGTTATGTCAATAAAACACATTTCTGTACTGTGGTTAGCTTATTTAAACTCTGAGCAGGAATTATTCAGGCAGACCTTCCTTTATGGATCTTCCCTAGTCTATGTTTCTGTCCTGTAGAAGAAATGTAGGGAATAAATGGATCTTCCCTGCCAGACTCGAACCTCTGTCCTTTGTGAACTGGAGTAGGGTTGAAGAGGATGAGTGGCCATCTAGCCAGCTGTTTTGTGAGGTTTGTAAAATTGGTTTTCATATCTCTTTCCAGCTAGTTGAGCAATTTCTATGATTATGTGTATCATTAAATATGTATCATTAACTTTGATGCATATTTTATTTCACTCTCACATTTAACTCTGTATATTTGCTTGGCATTCATGACTTGTGGTCTGCAATCATAAGCTTAAAAATTATAAACCATACTTTGTGTTCAGTCTATTTTGCTATAATCCAAAAGAACAAGAATTATTTTAGTCATTTTCATTTTACTTCCCTTATATAAATTTATTCCATGAACAGAAATCTT